TCCTAATTACCTGAGTCATCTTGGCTGACTACGATATAACGATGGACTTCAGTGGCGGACATGAATCTCGTGACAGTCTCCCGTGCCGCGGCAATCCCCAGAGAGTCGCCAGTGTGGATCACGAATCCGAGGGAGGCCGAACGTTGAAGCTGCAGAAGCTCCTGAAATTTCTCGTCTCCGATCAGGTGTCGTAATCCATATGCTGAAAATACAAGTTAAATCATACCTAGCTTATCATAAAATTTTACTGTTCTAAATCATCTCCCTATCTGGTTCTAAATGCGTTTATTGTGATTAAAGGGTTCAATACCTGGGTGAATAAAGAACGCAGTCGTGTGTCGAAAAGCGCCCTCTGCCGCCTGGTGGTGGAGGTAGTAGTGGGGGGACATGTTGGGGTCGCTGCTGTCCTTGTTTATGCCGCCAGTGGCAGCAGACGTCGTGCTGGACATGTCGAGGGGGCCACCGTGACTACATTTGCCAGTCTGGTGCAAACTCGGTTTTCCTGATAGAATAAAAAGAAGCAGTAATTTGCATATTAGTTTCTGTCACTTTGAAGAAAATCTTAAACCTAAAAATCCAATTATATACTTATGGATAACAGATTACGAAGATTATTACCTAGGATTTACTGCTCGCATTTCACTGACTCCTGTAGAAATCACGGCCTCTGATTAGTTGAATTGCCTTTTACAAAACATTTTGAAGTAACTGTTATGTGTCACGATGTTCCCTAACAAAGCAGAGGTTATACTGCCAGGTCACTGATTTTTAAAACCTAACCCCCATACTGATTTTATTGATCGTCTAAATTACTTTCTTCTTGAAATGACAATGGCATATCAAGCACATATGATAATCTCTCCCTCGCTAGCCTCTCCCTTGAAACTCCCAATTTATGACATTACTTCAATCCAGGTATATTATTCATAAGTTGTCATACTTCGTTCGTTAGTATCTGGAACTCAATGTACGGAACTCTATTCTAAAGTGATATTTCTAAGTATGCAAGAAACAGTAAACACAAGCCTTTCAAAACTACATTTTAATAAGGCCTGTTGCAACATGAATCGTCCAAGAGATATGACACAACGCTGAGAATTTGTTTTTGTTTGTTTGTTGTTTAACACCGCACTCAGCAAAATCCCAGCTACACGACGGCGGTCTGTAAATAATCGAATCTGGACCAGACAATCTAGTGTTTGATGTCATAGGCATCGATCCACGCAATTGGGATACGATGACATGCATCAACCAAGTCAGCGAACATTATCACCCTATCCCGTTAGTCGCCTCTTACAAGCAAGGTCGTCTCTTACGGCAAGCATTGGTTGACCTATTCTAACCCGGATCCGGATCTTCACGGGGCCACAACGGTGAGAAAATGCATGAGGGATATATCAAGAGCTTTACACTTTCTTTATAATAATAATAAATATTATATATATAATAAAACTACTATTTCTCACTTTCAGGTTTCCTTCTGTCCTGTCCACTTCGGTAGCCGCTGGTCAGATGTCCATCAATCAGTAGGTTGCCTGTACACGGGGCATCTGTGAATGGCCTTCAAGAAAGAAGTAGGCAAATTACGTAGAAGCGGTTGTGGCAATGACAAGTGAATCTGGCTACAGATAAGACAGTACCTACTTGCATGATCTGCACGTATCCATAGAGATTGGTGCCTGGTCCATCAGTGTTTTCCCGCGAATACCTGTGTGTGTGGAAATAGAAAAGCTTGAGGATGTGCCATGTGTACTAAGTTTCCAATTTTGTAATCCTGTGTTAAAATGTTACATGCTTTTTCTCAGATATGATTTATTTGTCCATTCTTTCATACCAAAGATAATATTTTCTTGTCTTTCCAACGTCAATTTATCGACAAACTTATTGAAATCTTATCATATTGTTCTGGGTAACCCTTCTCAACCAAGCTTGCACTTGGGAAACAGTTAATGGAAAATGTTCTTGTTTCTTAACTTTTTATCCTAACGAAAAACACAAAGGTTATACACAACAGGCAGAACATCCGACCATACCCGAATACCATTACACATGCCCCCATAGTTACCTACCATGCCGTGTGACATCATGCCGTGTGTCAGTTGACAGTTTGGAAACAAAGCATATCGGGTGTATCAATGTTATTGACAGGATTTAAATGATACCAAATGGCAGGTATTATATGCTTAAACTTGTCCTTAGAGTGATAGTATATCGTACCTAAAACGTCATATGCAGCAGATCCATTCATTTCCGGCCAATTTGTGTTGCTGTAGAACATCTGGACTATGTGAAGAAACTGACCAATCAGATCTCGAGCTACGGTGTAGTCTGGTGTGGGCTTATTCAACTCGTTCATTGACGCTTCCCGTAACAACATCATCTTCTCATGTGCTGGGGAGGACAGTAGCGGCATGTATATAAACAACGACGGGTTTTTAGTAGACTGCTGATTTCACGGATGTAGCGAGACCGAACTTAAGGCCAATGTAAGGCCGAAATCCTCCCAAATGTAAAAATCTAAACTTTCCACAGAGTTGGTATATATCCAACATGATGACGCCTCTTTATTTATGTAATTTGGGATTATTTTATCATTTTGAAGATCTAATCTGATGATGTTCGCCTGTTCTTGTCACGACATCCATTCAGTATCACCTTCTTTGATGGCCTCCCCGTTGACATGCCAGGCAGCCTCCGTGTAGTGGTCCTGGTCCACTCTGTTGTTGGCCTTCACGATGTCATCGATGGCCTCCTGGAACCGCTTCTCCGGCACAGTGCCTGGCATAAAATATGTTGTTTAATTAATTGTTACTCTTAAAGCCCCCAACTTTAAATGTGTAGTATTACTGATATTTTATCAATTGGAAGAGGCGTTGTCATAGATTTATGAATATTTAATTAAGTTATTATTTGTTTGAGAACATTTAAAAGATATTTATAGAAATTATACACCCTAATGATGTAAACTACAACGTTTTAAGAGATAGGTTTATAACCATTGTTGTTTCGTCTGACCGGCCTAGATAAGCTGCTTCCATGTTACCCCGTCAATGAAATACATCTATCAAACTTTATGTGTAATGATGCCATCATAATACAGGTTTAGGTTTACGTTTCTACAGCAGCACACAGCTTTGATCTATCCCCATGTTTTAAACCAACCTCTATCTATCAAACGTTATGTGTAATGATGCCATCATAATACAGGTGAGGTTTACGTTTCTATAGCAGTACACAGCTTTGATCTATCCCTATGTTTTAAACCAACCTCCACAATACTCCGCAAACAGTTCCTTGGCTGTTACATTTTTGATACCACCGAAATCTCCGCGTCTCCCGAATATTCCCATAGGCAACGTCTCCTGACAAAACTTCGCCACAGCTTTCAAGATGGCGGCCTCTGTGATGTCCTGGTGGGTGAAGCCAGACGGCAGAAGGCTGTACCTGTTTGGCAGGAAGCCCAACACGCAGACGACACACACCAACAAAATGACTAACGAATATCCAGAAGACGCCATACTTTTGATTCTTATGTCGTACAGAATCTTCCAAGACACAAACGGGGAATAAGAGTTTGTTTTCACACCTTATCACTAATCAGATCTACTATGTATGTCACTCAAAACCAGCAGTTGATACTGATGGCTGTATGATAAGGCAAAATAATTCACAGTTCCGTCGGTTCTATCTTGTCCTGATTGTAATAGTACGCGGTTCTTTACCAGATGAGAGACGATTCCTGTGCATCAATTGTAGAATGTCGATATAAATTCAGTCTGATAAGCTAAACCTATGTTCCTTCCTCAGTAATGCAAACATAACTGAGCAGAGACTATATTGGTCAGGTTCCTCTCAGCGCCCAACTCTATCAAGAAATAATACCTTAAGCGCACTGTTCTAAAATATATCATGGCGCCACTCTTATACCCCAGTAGGATATTCACCCCGACCAATCGTCATCTGCACGTCATAATACAGATCTGTGTGATATTCCCCTCCTGACTCACTAATCCATGCATCATATATTAAGTGGTCTGTTTAAATTTCATGTCGTACGGATAACGATTATCTATTCCTCAAGAGACACGTACACATTTCAGGAAATACTTCACGATAATGACAGATAAGCGTAGCGCTTAGTAAACTCTTAGCAACATCTACAATGCAAAACAATTTTCGTAATCACCAAATAGATAGCTATCAACACGGTAGTCGGACTTTCTAAGCTTTATAGCAGGAATGTGGCGAATAAAGGTTTACGTTGTTTGTACATTTTCTTAAGAGTATAACATTGCTTCCTTCAGCTGTCAGAACCGTTCATCATGAGTTCGAATCCCACATTCGTCTGTAATATGATAACTAAATGCGCCATAGCTGCTCGCGGGTTTAACAAAGTAGTAAATGTGACTCTTTTACTTCCCTTGACATGAAGCCGTTATAAAACTGGCGTTATATTCAATAAATAAATACAACTTTACATATCTAAAAGAGATATCTGCCAAAATGTAATAGACCACACATGTAATATGCTATTCAAACTATATGTATACGTTATCAATTATAGCCTATCCATTATTCCAAAGATATCTTTATCAACGATTGGCGAAATATCTTGTAAAGTACATAATTATACTTAGACGAAAGGTTAGACTATACACACAAGCATGTTTATTTCAGATGGATACTTTCAAAAGTAATTCTCTAAATGCGTGTCGGGTTTGTTAGAATTCTTATCGATCGTATTAAGTTAATATTTAAAGTTCTTTATCAATCTATCCAGCATTTAGATAAAGTCCTGCAAGGAAACAACGCTGGAATTCAAAGACCATGTTGAGCTGGGTCTTAGTGTTGTCGACTTCCCCTGCAATATCCTGGTGACGGCATTACACAGACAGGGTGTGGACGGTGCACCCGTGTGACGCCGACAACAGGTCAACAGTGCACATGGACAAAGCTCCCACTTAAAGCTCTGAGAAAAAACCATTGAGAGATGTGTATTTAAGTTTATTTTCAAACGAGATACCTGGTACACAAAGGACAAACAATTCTTGAGAGAGAATTTTAGTACTGAAGATGAACGTATTTAACAAATTAGAAAGATACAACGAAATAAATACGTAAAACAAGTAAGCAAATCAAGGTTGCAGTTATCACAGTATACTCAATAAATAGATATTCACATATGTACATTGGCTATACACTTACTTTAATTCCTGGCTGGACAACAACACGTGGTTGTCATAGTAAGCTCGTCATTATCCACAAGATGATTTAATCGATAGCTGTACGTATGTTTATAATACTGAAGATCTTGAGTAAACGGGGCAGCAAAATTATTACAGACTCCAAATGAGTAAATTCTTTACATCGCATCGGCAATATTACAGCCATATGGCGACAAATAAAACAGAAAAAAACATGTCATTCTTCATAAAAAATAAACACATGTGTGTTACATACACATTTTTATATAATTAAGGACGTTTTAGAAAAAAAAGTTGCCCGGATTTTAGTATTATTATTCTTTGGGTGACCTCATACACATCTAGAATTAACTAATTTCACTGAAACAATTAATATAAACAATTCATATGTTACATGTATTTTCTGAGGATAAACGTCCAGTGACTAAACATAAGTTTTTATCCATTTGAAAACGGAAAGGTTCCATCAGCAAATATACTACTCGTGACAGATTAACTATAGTAATATGAAAGAATCGGGTTATCCTTAACTTATTTTGAGTAGTATAGGATTGAAAACGAAAATGTTCCATCAGGAAGTAGAAATGTCCTCATGAATCCATTCACTGATGATAAAACACAGTACTCCATCGCCACACGCCAGTACAAATGTCTGTAAATACACTATAGATATCACCGGTAAGGAAACCTGTCTCGTCTCCTGAGTCCATATGTTGTCCGTGACGTTTAGTCCCACGCCGTGGTCCGGAACCTGCCAGTGTTAGAGGATGGGGTCACCGAGGAACATTTCCCATATTTGGTGATGAGGACTGCCGCAACAACTATCCCCACCACCGCTGCGATAACACCGACGGAGATCCCAGCAATAGCCCCTGTGGATAGCTCATAAGGTTCGTCAGTTACCTGTTAGGGGAGAGAAGTGATATAGCTAAATGATGCGATTCTTGTGCTAACTTCAAATAAGTTGAGCTTGTTCTAGATAATTTACCAATACACTACCAAGTGTAAGTATATCAAAACATCGTCCAAGAAAAAAGTGTTTTGTTAAAGAAAGTAATCGTTTTGCATAGAACAGATTTTATCTTGACGGATATTTATATTCTAGCAAGCTGAAGACGAGCTTCGTTTCTTGTTTCTGAAGACAAGCCAGTAGCGGATTCGTTATTCAAAGTCCGTACATTACAGGCACAATAAGTCCAAGTGTATGTGAACTGGCCAAAGTGAGATAACATAAGTCATTTTCGAGGACATCCTGTGATCCGTCCTGTACTGAATAACGAACTCGCTCCTGATTATTCAAAACTACAGGACCCGTGAAGATCCGGGGTAGAATAGGTCTTCAGCAACCCATGCTTGCGGTAAAAGGTGACTATGCTTGTAAAAGGCGACTAACGGGATCGGGTGGACAGGCTCGCTGACTTGGTTGATGCATGTCATCGATCCAAATTGCGTGGATCGATGCTCATGATATCAATCACTGGACTGTCTGGTCCAGACTCGTTTATTTAAAGACAGCCGTCATATAGCTGGAATGTTGCTGAGTGCGGCGTTAAACAACAAACCAACCAACCAACCAATCCAAACTACTGAATAAGTATACAGTTGCAGGGAGATCTTATATTTGTTACACTTAAACACAACAACGAACCTGCCGCTAACATCAGGCTGCCTTACACCCTTAGATGTTTAGGACTGAATGAGTGACTGAGTTGGGTATAAGGCCGCTTTTAACAGTATTCCTGTCATATCACGGCGTGTAAGCTTCATGTGGGAAGAAATCCCGAAATGATGCAGGTGTCTGACGCTTGTCGCTGCCACCATTGAAACCCAGGAGCAGGGGTATGGTGGTGACACACCTAGAAACATAATCGGGGCGAACCGGTATTCGAACCCATAATCAAAGGTCCCTGCGTGTGCAAGGGACGCAACTCTGCTCAGCGAACTGCGGCGCCTTAGACGTCTGGCCGCCCGTGCCCCTTTTACGACCTGGGCTGATACCGTGTGTTACAAGATGACACAAATGACAAGTTCATTGACATCAGGTCGTGAATGGCAGGCAACACAGCATGTCAAAATGAATTCGGAAAATTTGCTAGTGTTAATAGGAACTTTACTTTTATCCCCGTCCGCACGCACACACAGCTTAGAAACAGTCTAGGCACTGAGAATGTAATCACGGATAAGATACTTGAAATGAACTTTGTGCCGGATGTCTGTTTAGACACGTTTGTCATTCTGTCTGAAAGACAGTTCATGTTCAGGACTGAATTAATATGATTATCATTATTATGAATCGTTTGTTCAAGATATATCACGTACAATGATGCGTGCACGGGTTAATTACGACAGAGGCATGTTTATGTGACTGTGTAGTTCTGTCCGTTGTTAATACCAAATAGGTATAATAATAAATATATAATAAAATAATATCTGTGTTCCAGGAGAAAAGCCAATGGCCTAGAAGTTAGTCTTACGTAATTGAATAGAGGTGGTTGGTTGGTTTTTTGTATAATTAACGCCGGTCGGTCTGTAAATAATCGAGTCTGGACCAGACAATACAGGGATTGATATCATGACCATCGATCTACGCAATTTGGATCGATGACATGCACCAACCAAGTCAGCGAGCCTGACCACCCGATCCCGTTAGTCGCATCTTACGACAAGCATAGTTGCCTTTTACAGCAAGCATAGGTTGCTGAAGACCAATTCCAACCCGGATATCTTCACGGGTCTAATTGAATAGAGAATGCTAGTAATTCATCAATGGCCAAATATTCAATATGTTTCATTTCAGTGTCTGTTGACAGCTAACTAACTGTTATTTTTCGTGTTTATTTTAGATCAAATATTTTGTAGTGGTGGAGGGGAAATGGGGCGTATACAAACACAGATGCCATTCTCTGATTTAACTGAATTAAGGTAATGGATTTTTTCAATCGTTTATGTGGATTGGTTCATAGCCAAGCATACCTTGGTGTCTGTAACGTCAAACTCGCATTGCCCTTCATTACCGGCTACGTCGATGACGACGACGTACGTCAGGGGGTGGCAGCACGTGGACCTGGGGAGAGTGGAGACGGGGGTGAGTAATGCTTCACAGATGTGTCACGACATCGTGTACGGCGATCTCACCTGAACCAAGTGAACACATAGCCGTCGGAATATGATATTCATTACGTCGGACATGTGACAGACGTACGAGGTCCCAGATAGTCACAATTCTCAGGTCAGCAAGTTTGGGTTTGTTTTTGGTTTGTTTGTTGTTTAACGCCGCACACAGCAATATTCCAGCTATATGACAGGGAAAGTATTTTGTTCATATTTCATATTTGCCTGATGTAAGCCTCACATTCAGCGTGTGCCAGTTGCCTCGTACATAAAGCACATTATCTTACCTCCATGTCAGAATGTTGAGATCTGTTTGGTTCTGATTGGATCTTAGAGAGATCCCTTATAAATCCCTTCTACCCCGCCGCGAAGAAAATAGTACGCAGGTTGATTTCTCTGAGGGAGAATAAATCCCTTATACCCCGCTACGAATACGTTGCTTACGAGTCAGTGAAAGTCACGTGACTAAGCACACGTTAACCTCAGTTCAACATGTTCTATCAATTTTCAATTTGTTATAATTCTTTTACAATATTAGATAGAAACATGTCGGCAAGATAAATTCGTAGTAGCAGGATCACTCGGGCTATAATGTGTATTTCTAACGCGGGACCTTTAAAAAAACACATATAACCCTCGAGATACTGCTACAACTCATAATACGCATGCGTTCTGAATGAAATATCACACAGTGGCACATGTTGATTATATGTGGGAATGTCTGCGTTGTTCACGGACTTGAGTCTATCTCTATACTGACACTGAAAGTTTGAAGAAAGGAAAACTAACGTCAAGGTTCCTGTCTTCAATCCAGAGCTAAGGGTGTCTCCTTCGGCGAACTTGTCGTGGTTGAGGACGCTGGAGTCACCAGCAGTGGACTCGACCAAGTACAGACCTGACCCCTCATCTCCGAATTGAACTGTTCCAAACCACACGTGTTGGTCACAGTCGTCGGAAGATGTCTGGGACGGGCTACAACGGCCGTGCGTGGAGGTGACGTTACACACTGGTGGGGTGTGGTCCTAGAGAACAGAATGGACAGAGTTAGTAGACTCATGAATACCCTACAACAATCACGGTTTCATACCATTAGACATAACAATATACAAAAACATCCAAAGGATAATCTAAGATGAAGGGCGTCCATTTCAAATAGTAAGTGACGAGAACAAAATTAATGACCTCCTCCGTGGTCTAATGGATACAGCGTCTGCCCAGAGAACGGAAGGTCGGTGGTCCGATCCCCTGGCCGCGTCATACAAAACGACGCAAGGGCAGATCGGCTCGGAGTCAATATGTAGTGTCTAAGTGGTGTACCCATTAAACTGTTTTGTTTGTTTAGTTGTTGTTAATCTGTCAATAATCGAGTAGAGTCTGGACAAGACAATCCAGTGATTGACGATCGATCCACGCAGTTGGGATACGGTGACATACATCAACCAAGTCAGTGAGCCTGACCACCCGATCCCGTTAGTCGCCTCTTACGACAAGCACACCATTTAAACTGAGGCATGGTATCTCAGTGGACTAACACTATAAAACAACACACAGACAGACGCGTGCGCGTAGTATCAATGTATCCGCCTAAATGTTTCTTTGTATTTGACTCAGCATAATTGATAAATGCTACTAAGCTTAAGCTAAAGCTGCCGGACTCGCTCTTCCAGGAACTAATAATGCAAAATATATATTGATGAACAACTTCAATATTACAATTAGGAATGCCGTTTCCATGTACGTTCTAACACCTACATAAAGCAAGTTATCGCTCCTAATTGTAATAAAGCACATCCACATCCATATATCTTATCCTCAATTAGTACTTCAACTTCTAAATGCCTCTCAAAGGAGCTTCCAATATTTCCATCTGAAATCAGCTTTTAAATATATCGACGCTAATTTGGTGTGGTCAAAAACATTGTCCAGAAACACAAATTTTAATTCTCATTTTTCAAAAAACAAATTTAGTTTTACTTATTTCTTAAACTGTACCCTTATACAGCAAATGTGTACATTCAATTCCAGAACATTTCTTCAGCTTATTCTCTGAAGATCATGGCTGTTTTCTACCTGAATTAGTGAATTAGTTTTGAGTTCTCGAATGTTTTCTGAGTAAATTACATTGTAAGGGTTAGGTTACTGGGATAAATGTCCCAGCGCTATCTACATTCAGAAGGCGACTGTATTTACCGTATGTCTGACTGCAGAACCAACTGTGGTAGCCTTGGCAAGACCAAGTGCTTTGGTTGCTGACGCTGAGGTAACTACGGACGCCAGTGTAGAGGTTGTGGGTGACGTTGTTGTAGTAATCATAGTTGTAGTACTTGGTGATGTAGTCATCGTTGTTGTAGTACTTGGTGCTATAGTCGTCGTTGTAGTCGTCGTCGTACAGTCGTACACGGGCTTGGTGAGTCCGGGAGCCAGGTCAAACGTACACTGCGCTGTGTTGCTGGCCATGTCGACCACGTTGATGTAAGACACGGGGTCGCAGCAGTCGCTCCTGGAACATGATAATTCAATTAATCACAGCAACCACCCAAAGTCTTTGGCGATTCGTTTGTCTGTTTGTTTGTTGTTTAACGCCGCATTCAGGAATATTCAAGCTATATGACGGCGTTCTGAAAACAACCGAGTATGGACCAGATAATCCAGTGATTGATATTATGAGTATCGATGCACGCCATTTTCATACAATGACATGCATCATATATACCAAGTCACCGAGCCTGACCACCCGATCGCGTTAGTCGCCTCTTACAAAAGGATAGGTTGCTGAATACTTATTCTAACCCGGATCTTCACGGGTCCTTTTTGGCGATCCGAGTCAGACGAAGTTTGGCTAGTTAGAAATAGGTAACAATTTACCGAACGTTCCTTGCATCATTATGTGATGGTCTACCATGGTACCTATTCAAGTAAAAATCTTATATTATGTTAAAACATCACCGTGCACTGCATCCTTTAGATCCAAAACACAACCACGACCCGTATAAAATACATCACCATCGACTAACCACTCTTGTTAGATTCAGTTTATCCACCCTCAAACAGGGTGTATAGTTTGCACGGCAATTTAGTACAACAGGTATCATGGTATTTCGTTAAAGAACGAACATGTTTGCTTGGTTTTCTAGTCATTCCCTCGATGATTGAATAAGTTTCCAAACATGAGTGAGTGAGTGAGTATGGTTTTACGCCGCTTTTAGCAATATTCCAGCATCATCACGGCGGGGAACACCAGAAATGGGCTTCACACATAGTACCCATGTCGGGAATCGAACCCGGGTCTTCGGCGTGGCGAGCGAACGCTTTAACCACTAGGCTACCCGACCGCCCCTCCAAACATGAACAGAGGTGAGTTATCATGTATCGTGTTGGTCTTTACAATCGATATAGACATTGTGTCGTTACAGCACCAGTTAGAATTATTGTGTTTGGTATTTGTGTGAAAATCAAAGTCTGTTTTATTACTCGTTTGTTTGGAAATGCATACCCTATAGAGGCCGTCTTGGCCCCCTTGTCAATGGTGTGCCCAAGGGTGAAGTTTTCAAACTTGAAGTTGCCCGTCTTCCCCACGGTGGACGAGATCTGGAACAGCCCGAAACCCACATCCCCGAACTGTGCCGTCCCCGACCACGTGTGCAAGTGACAACTACACGGATCCATCTGAGCCATACTGCAACTTCCGGTTACCGAGGTCACGTTACACTCAGGGGTCGTGTTGTCCACTTTCTGGAACAGTTCAGACATTGAGCAAAATGACAGTGGACATAAGGATTGATATAGGCAAAGGAAACATTCAAGGAATTATGTCTAGCCAATTTATCATTAACAGCTAACATCCAAATACTCATCCAGAAGCAGATCGCCATCCACGTCCCCATCACACCCTGAGTGAGTGAGTGAGTGAGTGAGTGAGTGAGTGAGTGAGTGAGTTGGGTTTATCGCCGCTTTTATCAGTATTCCAGTTATATCACAGCGTGTCAGCTGAATGTGGGAGGAAAGCCTGAAGTGATGCAGGTTTCAGACGTTTACCACTTCGGTGAAACCCACGAGCACAGGTATGTGCTGACAAACCTAGAAACATAATTTGGGCCAACAACCACAATTCGAACCCACAATCATAGGTTTCTGGCGTGCCCAAGGGACGCAACTCTGCAGAGCGAATCGCGGCGCCTCAGACGCCAGGGCCACCCGTGGTCCATCCACATGTACAACCAAATCATCATTCTAACATCCGTCTCCCTCTATACCTATACCCGCTTGTCGTATGAAGCGACTAAATGCGTTGGGTGTCCACGTCCCCATCCTCACCCCTTTTCAATCCACATCATCATCCTCATCCTTATCCTCATCCACAACCACAATCACATCCTGATCCAGGAATCCTTGGGGATTATGGCTTTGGGATAGGTCGCCATTAACTTTTGCTTTTTCAACATGCGACTAACTAATTTAGATAAGAGCCGTGACTGTGTTGGTTGCGTGTCATCGTACCCCGACTGCCTGGAACGTATTACATCAGCAATAAGTGGTTTGACTGATCCAGACTCTCAGGCTGCCGTAATATAGCTGGAATGTACTATCTCTCCACATCCACATCTTCAAGCACATCCACATCTTCAAGAACATCCACAACCAAATCTTCAGTACAACTCCATCCTCAAGCATATCCACATCTCTAAGCAAATCCACATCTTCAAGCACATCCATATCTTCAAGCACACCCAAAACTTCAAGCACATCCACATCTACAAGCACATCCACAACCACATCATCAAGCACATCCACATCTTCAAGCACATCCACATCCACATCTTCAAGCACATCCATATTTTCAAGCACATCCACATCTTCAAGCACATCCACATCCATACCCACATCCACATCCATTCCCACATCCAAATTCACATTCACATTTCCATCCATTCCCACATCCAAATTCACATTCACATTTCCATCATCCATTCATGTTAATTACCTTTCATGAATCGATTGACCCACTCATTTAACTGTATTTCTACCAACCACTCAAAGGTACTGATACTGAAAACCAAACATAATAGCTTCTGAACATTATTTACTGTAAAAGTCCCATTCAGCATTTCCAATGTTCAATGGGTATTGGCTGTGACATGCTCACCTTCACCACGTGTTTCTCCACTGTGACCCTGCGAGTGTCATACTGGGGACTGTGTGTCGACACGCCGTCAGGTTCCGCCGACAACGTCACCGTTCTGAACAGATTCAAGAAGATGACGTTCACTCTTATCACTCAAAACTCAAAAAGCGCCACTCTAAAATGCACTAAAAGTAGAACCAACTCGCGCTCAGATCACCGCTTTAACACGTTCCCTTATTCCTACACCAGCTATTCTGTTATTGTCCTTTTATGTGATTCATGACATTTTCGATACATATGCCCCATACATGCTAATGTGATTCAATCGGCGCTGTGTGCATTCCAAGGAAATGGTGTCACGCAATATACAGCTGCAATTCAACTACAGCACGTGCTGGTTTTGGGCGAGCAGTGTCGTCAATTTTTTTTCAAATTCGAAAGCTCACACAAACACAGATGGAATTTAAGGTATCGATTCTATGTTCGAGACCTATTTAATATGCAGCAGCTTTATCTTGGGAAAAACATTTCACAAGTGATAATCGATACTAATGTTGTGTCATAATATATGGTGATTGATTCCGCTTCGAAGATCCGGGATAGAATTGGTCTTCGGCAACCCAGCTTGTCGTAAGAGGGGACTAACGGGATCGGGTGGTCAGGCCCGCTGACTTGTTTGATGCATTTCATCGTATCTCAATTGCGTAGATCGATGCTCACGATATCAATCAACGCGATTATTAACGGACCGCAGCGTTAAACAACAAACAAGGTTATGGCGCCGATTGCATAATATACAGTTTATGAGTGTGTTAACCTACGTGGTGACCCCGTCTGTGTGCCCTGCGTGGATGGTGAATGTGCCCGTGGCATTAGCGCCACCGTCAAGATTGAAGGTCTTTTCGGTGGGGTTGACAGCAAACCCAAGGTCGTCTTTAATGTCCACCTTGATGGCGGTCTTGCTGTCGCCCCTGTTCGACACTGTGTAGGGAATCTTGAGAGATTCGTCGACATACAGGGAACCTGTACGTTCATAAAGTGAACAATCAACGGACAATAGATAATGAGTGGAATAATATGTATGTATTACATGATCCATGATCAATCGCTGAATAGAAGTATTACCCCCAAAATGCTTCTTTCTTCTAGCCTCTTCAATTGTGTGTCCGTTTGGCGCACTAAATAGCGCACCGTAAACGCCTAAGAAATGTTCTTGCTTAGTTATTTTCAATTTTTGAAGCAAACTTTAAAAACTCTTCGCCCTCACAAATCATCGAAAAATGCGAGATCTGAGCACCTTACGAAATTAGAATCCAATCCAAGGATTTGCAATATTGTAACACGTAATTTATTATCCATATTACAGTAAAAGACATGGCGAGGTAACGGACTCGATCATTCCTATGGCATGCCATCTGTCATATTTTTATTTAGGCGTGGCGTGGTGAAATCTCATCAAACTGATCAAAAGCGGTGGTGTTTTTTATAACTCTGTACTACCAAAGATTGCTTTATTACAACTATGTGGGATTGGGGATATGGCCATTACGAGAGAACATTTGATGCAATTTCTCACGAATTTCTTGCAAAGCAACACACAATACCAGCGACTTGTGGTTAAGGGCGTTTCTTCACGTCACCTCGTAAACATGTTCCCTGATTCAAGTCCAAATTTAATATGAAGGTTTGTAAACGAACAAATCCACATAACAACAACTTTTGCCTCAGAGTATATTAACACAGAGGAATTCAAAAGATGAAATAGTATTCGTTAAATGGTTCATCCAGAATCGCATCACATTTATCCCGCCATGGCGCGCACTGGCCTACATGCCCCTATCATAGTATGCAAGAAATAACACCTATATGAAACCTACCCGGTAATGTTCCGATGTCGAGTTTGATTGCAATGGGTGTTATCCGGGTGGGATCCAGTCTCTGTACGGGGAAGTGCAGGATGTCAGCGCCGGTGATGCTCACCTGGAACGCCTGGAGTGGTACGTAGAGATAATAACGTGAGTGAGTCCCCTAGTTTAACGTGAGTGGGTGAGTTGGGTTTAACGCCGCTTTTAACTGTATTAATGTTGGAGGAACGCCCGAAGTGATGCAGGTCTCAGACGTTTACCACTTCGGTGAAACCCACGAGCACGGGTATGGTGCTGACAAACCTAGAAACATAATCGGGGCGAACCGGGATTTCGAATCCACAATCATAGGTTTCTGGCGTGCCCAAGGGACGCAACTCTGCATGACGATTTGCGGCGCCGTAGATTTGCCCCCAAACTGGTTTAACGACAGTTTCGTAAATACGTGAGTGAATGTTGTGGGGGTGGGGTAGGGTTTAGCTGCTGGGATTTTATCCCAAATATATATATTGTCCTCGAAAAGAAATTGTATGCCACACAAATTGCATTGGTTGCCATTTGGTGTTTAGAAAACAATATTTTACCATAACATAATAAATATTCAGTACCACTCATTACCTTTGTGGGAAGGGTGAAACTTCCCTTGAACATGGATGCTGCGCGACCTCGACCTTGAGTCAAGGGAGATGAATCTAGCGACTTTCCGGCACTGTCTGTCAGGACAACTCTGTCTATTCCTTTTATCTTGTCTATCGATGGAACGGTGATTACTACTGTGGCCTTTTCACCTGAAAATATAATTTTTTCATAAATAATTAACCGTTCTGACAAATTAAGTAACTTGTCAATCCGGACAGTTAATCTGGACAATTTTATTGTATCAGTGTTTGGTTGACTATCCTTGATGTGTTTTCCTCCAAACGAGTCCTCCCAGCGGTACCTGCAATGGGTCTTCCTGTGATCTCATACTGGAATCCGTTCAGGGGGTTTGTCTGTACAAACTTGGTGCTGAAGTCGATGGTGCTCTGTGCGGTCACCTCCAGGGCCCAGCTGACACTGTCCTGCTTCGTCAGATGCCACACGCCAGGATCGGGAGCCTGGAATATACAAACAAATGTTTCAAGTTGTTTATATTTTTCAAAACACATGTTTAGTTTCCTTCAAGACTCTCACTACCTGTGGGAATAGGTGATATCACAATAGCTACTGCTGCTGAGTAACAAATACTGGATAATAATGAAATATTCTGCAAAAAGGTTTGTCATCAATTTGCGAATGATATGTGTAAGTAATATTAGTGGCGGTAGAAACTGTTGTAAATATATGTGTAGTAATTATGAGTGGCACAAATGATTGAATTATCAAGCGAGTAGAGCTGGTTTAGCACTGGAATTTAGAGTTATCCGCCTTTGTTGTTTACATGGACACGTCAGGGTTGATCGTTCGAGAAGATTCTGGAAGGCTGGCTTCACCTATATAAGAGCGACAAGGGGGCGTTTCCAGGACTTTTTCAACCTGACTTTTTAATCTACTTGCCAAGGGCGGTTTGGATACATATTTTGAAACATCGAATTCCTGCACGCTTCCAACATATCCTGGAAGAAAGGCCTGTTTTCAGACATTCGACAGTGACAATATTCTGGACATGCGTGACTCCAACACTAATTTTAGGGCTTGGGACGAGTGTCAAAACTAGATACTTTGAAATCTGCTATGAATTACACGATAAGGTAAACAAGTTATGCTAGTGTGTGTTTAAGTTTAAAGTTTAAGAGGTTTAAAGTTACAAGTTTCATATCCACAACAAGTGATGCTTCTTTGGGAGGAAAGTCCAAGTGACGGAGAGGCCTTTACAAATTGCAATCAATGTCATGCTTGAGATCACTTGGACACATGTGCCCAATACCTACAGGCTTAGGCTTTACCTTTATCTTGATGAGACGGACGCCTCCTCCAAGTTCTTTGACGGTAGTGGTTGCAAACGTCCCTGGTATCATTGGAATCGGGGTACCTAAATAGTTGATACAAATACAAATCAAGATGATACATCTATCAATATAAAAAAAATACCTTTGTTTAATACATTCTAAAGTCCAAATAATCAGAATTCCTCCTAAACGTATACTTTCTAATTACCATACACCGTGGGGATCTGATTAAGAATACCTTCTTCTTTTTTTAATTTATTTCACATTAGGGGCCACGATTTTACGTGGCTGGCCTAACGGGTCGTAGTATGTACAGGCTAGTGGACATGACTTGGGCAGAGCTTCTGATTATTACATGGTCCATTTTCTGATGTGTATTAATAACGTGTACTTTAAGAACTAGCTCCTTAACATAGTTATTAAATGTACAGAACTTCTCAAGAATTTTACATTCAAACACATAATATTTTGCCGTAAGAAGAAGATAACTGAGTATCGTTTTATCGGTTGACGCTGCAAATAATTCTCTATTTCTGTAACTTTCAAATATCATATTATTTATATTCACTTTCATCCATTTAAAAACACTGACCCAAAAATTACTAAAACGACTATGGACAGACGTATCGTAAGTTATATATATACGGAAGAACACAGAGTATGTTTGTCTCTTACCAGAAGGGCTTTTGAGAGTGTCAACTGGTTCTGACTTTGTGCCGGCGATGATCTTGATGGTGACCTCCTTAATAGTGGCGTCGACGGGGATGTCGAACACCTTGTTCTGTGACGGTGCCGCGACGTCGAGTTTTAGGATTGTAGTTGCTGACGTCGTCACTGACTCCTACATAGCAGGAATGGTTACAGAGCTATTTGTGAACATGTTACACGTAACAGGGCTACTTGTGAACTTCTTACACATACATTGTAATTGTCGTAATATAGTGAGTGAGTGAGTTGGGTTTAACGCCGCTTTTAACAGTATTACAGTTATATCGCGGCGTATCAGCTTAATATGGGAGGAAAGCCCGAAGTGATGCAGGTCTCAGACGTTTACCTCTTCGGTGAAACCCAAGAACACGGGTATGGTGCTGACAAACCTAGAAACATAATCGGGGCGAACCGGGATTCGAACCCACAATCATAGGTTTGTGGCGTGCCCAAGGGACGCAACTCTGCACAGCGAATCGCGGCGCCTTAGACGACTGGGCCACCCGTGCCCCCTGTCGTAATATAAGAAAAGATAGTATTTGTTCACGCACAGGACACAAAATAATAGAAAGTAACCAATTGAACATCCCTTGTATATGTCATGTTTTGAATGTTAAAATCTAACGGCAAGTTGGTTGAGTCTTTAAACATATTTTGGTAAGCGGTCAAGTTCAACCACAATGACACCTGACGGTATTCATTATTTCAATAACACGAATTTTACTTTGGATAAAATTTCACATAATGAAGGAAGAAAGGAAAACTAAAACTGTTCTAAAACTAAAGTGAAAGCGTTGGGTTTTACGCCGCTTTAAACAGTATTCCAGTTTTATCACAGCGTGTCGGCTTGACATGGGAGGAAAGGCCGAAGTGATGCAAGTGTTAAACGTTTAACGCTTTGGTAAAACAAACAAGCATGGGTATGGTGCTGACAAACAAACATAATCGGGGCGAACCGGGATTCGAACCTACAATCATAGGTTTCTGGCGTGCCCAAGAATCGCTGCGCCTTAGACGACTGGGCCACCTGTGCCCCCATCTTATTGAAGGTGACTATGATGTCTTTGGTAAAACCAACAAGCATGGGCATGGTGCTGACAAACAAACATAATCGGGGCGAACCGGGATTCGAACCCACGATGACACCTATGTTGCTAGTGTGCTCAAGGGACGCAACTCTGCATGGCGATTTGCGGCGCCGTAGACGACTGGGCCACCCGTGTCCCCTTACAACTTAAGAGAAACATTGTGAATAAATTACCAACATCGGTTAAGCGATATATAACAATCTGAGCTGCTACAAAACATTTGTGTTTTAAAATATGTATTGACAAAAAACTGATTTCTATAGCGTGTTGTTTACACTGTTCCTACATCTTAGGGATGTCACGTTGGATCATTGTTATATCTAGATACATTAAATCACCGGACTCTCTACTAAAATACGTATCATCTATTAAACATTTGGTATTACAACTTGACCCGTGGTAGAATAGGTCTTCAGCAACCCATGCTTGCCATAAAAAGCGATTATGCTTGTCGTAAGAGGCGACTAACGGGATCGGGTTGTCAGACTCGCTGACTTGGTTGATGCATGTCAGTGTATCCCTATTGCGTAGATCGATGCTCATGGTGTAAATCACTGGATGTCTGGTCCAGACTCTATTATTTACAGACCGCCACATAGAGCTAGAATATTGCTGAGTGCGGCGTAAGTAACAAACAAACAAAACAAACATCTGTACCTTAATGATGTCCGCCATCTTAGCCACGCCCCCCTTATCCGTGTGATACACTGACCCCCCTGAGGAGGCAGCGAGCCCCCCGTACAGGTCCATCCCCGCTGACCGCCGGGGTCGGAGCCGCGCTACAAACAAGAAAACAACATGAAAAATCAACATGGCAATCCTAATAATCACAATGTCGACACGTCAATCATAACAATCACCACATCAATCGTAACAATAACCATGTCAGTCCTAACAATAACCATGTCAATTTGACATCATGACGCCATTCAAACGATAACAATGGCACCCATGACAAGCACTACGTCAATCCTATGCACATAATCAAGTCTTGACCACACAAACCAGTGACTAAAACACGAGCAACGAACAACGCCATCGGGGTACGATGCTACACAATCAGCCAGCACGGTCTCATTTGATCGGTAGTGTGCATGTGTGACTTGAAAACATATTTTGTATCAAAGTTATCAACTTAACGAAATATTAGGGCTTTTTACGTTGTCTCCTTGTTCTAGAATAAACCGCTTTGCTTTATGACGCCTAAATGCTATTAGTGAAATATATGAGGATGGAGAGAAATAGACCAACATATATATTATGCATTTTTTTAATGTGAAGTTTACACATTATACGGCTTTTCCATTGGGCGAGAGGTTGGTCACATGATCACGAAACTGACGTTCATAAGTGTATAAAGACACATTTTGACGTTCACTAGATTGGATTCTTTAAACGTCGCAAGGCCCTCACTCTATGAAGTTCATACTCCAATGAACTCATCCAAAGTGAAAGTCAATATGTCTGCATATTTCTCTCAAATATTTTGTCATCCCACACAAACTAACACATTCATCACATTACGCTGTGCCGTGCGTCATTATTGTGTTGAGTATAAAGCGCTCATTCAACATACATCTACCATATTGCCATGAGTTTCCTTATTTGTTGCCATCAGCATAACCTTAGAACGCTCGTTGCATGCAAAGTATGCTATGCGCATTAAGAGTTATGCTAATTACTGACCCGTGAAGATCCGGGGTAGAATAGGTCTTCAGCAACCCATGCTTGCCGTAAATAGTGACTATGCTTGTCGTAAGAGGCGACTAACGGGATCGGGTGGTCAGACTCGCTGACTTGGTTGATGCATGTCATCGTATCCCAATTGCGTGGATCGATGCTCATGATGTTAAACACTGGATTATCTGGTCCAGACTCGATTATTTACAGACCGCCGTCATGTAGCTGGAATATTGCTGAGTGTGGCTTTACACAACAAACAATACAATGCAATACAATAAATACAATACTATGGTAATTACTGCTTAAGTTAAGCGTTCGAAACAACCGATTATTCTCTGTATCTTCGATTTTTGCTTCGAGTTAAAAGTAGAGACTTTTTGTTTGTTCCTGCCAACAACAGCGCACTGAGCAACATGTGTACATTTACCCGTCTGTCTCATGCTCCGGCCGCTGCAGTCGCCGGTCAAGGGAAAAGACACACTGATCTTCTTGTGGGTCACTATGTCTGTTACGTAATTGATCATGTCAGCATCTTTCGGTGAACGATCCGTGAAGACGTAGACCTTAGAGTTGGGCTTAGCCACAGTAGCAGCTGAAAATAGTAGTGGTGGTAGTAGTAGTAGTAGTAGTAGTAGTAGTAGTAGTAGTAGTAGTAGTAGAAGTCGTAGTAGTGTTATTATCGTAGTTGTCCTAGTATATGCATACGGTTTCTCAGTCTTAGTGGGGGCACGGGTGGCCCAGTCGTCTAAGGCGCCGCGATTCGCTGTGCAGAGTTGCGTCCCTGGGGCACGCCAGAAATATATGATTGTTGGTTCGAATCCCGGTTCGCCCCGATTATGTTTCCAGGTTTGTCAGCACCATACCCGTGCTCGTAGGTTTCACCAAAGTGGTAAACGTCTGAGACCTGCATCACTTCGGGCTTTCGTCCCACATTAAGCTGACACGCCGTGATATAACGGGAATACTGTTAAAAGCGGTGGAAACCCAACTCACTCACTCACTCAGTCTTAGTAATCCCTATGGTAGAATGGCATTATTATTTTTATTTGCAGCACACGCTGATTCAAAGAACTAAAAATAACTTAACTTGGGGGTCGTCCTGCAGCACACACAGTAACAGCCTAATTCAGTTTGGGTCATATATATGTCCACAGTGTGTCCGCATATCGGCTTGGATTCTGGACACAATTCAACTTGTTCATTTAGTGCTCACACAGTGCACGCGTCAAACTAAATCCTACCTCGCCGTACATCACAAATATGGATCGAAAACCAAAAACATCGCTTTAGATTGCTAAAACCGGAGAGAGGTACAAATAGCCATTGTGATATACGGGGGTCAGTCAGATACCTACCAGCCAGGAGAGCCGTGAGGACATACGTAGGACAGTCAGACACCTACCCGCCAGGAGAGCCGTGAGGGAATACGAAGGACAGTCAGACACCTACCTGCCAGGAGAGCCGTGAGGGAATACGTTGGACAGTCAGACACCTACCATCCAAGAGAGCCCTGAGGACATACGTAGGACAGTCAGACACCTACTATCCAAGAGAGCCGAGAGGACATACATAGGACAGTCAGATACCTACCAGCCAGGAGAGCCGTGAGGACATACGTAGGACAGTCAGACACCTACTATCCAAGAGAGCCGAGAGGACATACGTAGGACAGTCAGACACCTACCCGCCAGGAGAGCCGTGATGACATACGTAGGACAGTCAGACACCTACCCGCCAGGAGAGCCATGAGGACATAAGTAGGACAGTCAGACACATACCAGCCAGGAGAGCCATGAGGACATACGTAGGACAGTCAGACACCTACCCGCCAAGAGAGCCGTGAGGACATACATAGGACAGTCAGACACCTACTATCCAAGAGAGCCGAGGGGTCATACGTAGGACAGTCAGATACCTACCTGCCAGGAGAGCCGTGAGGACATACGTAGGACAGTCAGACACCTACCCGCCAGGAGAGCCGTGAGGACATACGTAGGACAGTCAGACACCTACCAGCCAGGAGAGCCGTGAGGACATACGTAGGACAGTCAGATACCTACCAGCCAGGAGAGCCATGAGGACATACGTAGGACAGTCAGATACCTACCAGCCAGGAGAGCCGTGAGGACATACGTAGGACAGTCAGATACCTACCCGCCAGGAGAGCCGTGAGGACATACGTAGGACAGTCAGATACCTACCAGCCAGGAGAGCCGTGAGGAGATACGTAGGACAGTCAGACACCCAGCCAAGAGAGCCGTGAGGACATACGTAGGACAGACAGACACCTACCAGCCAAGAGTGCCGTGAGGACATACGTAGGACAGACAGACACCCGGCCAGGAGAGGCGTGAGGGCATACGTAGGAAAGTCTGATACCTACCTGCCAGGAGAGCCGTGAGGACATACGTAGGACAGACAGACACCCGGCCAGGAGAGGCGTGAGGGCATACGTAGGACAGTCAGATACCTACCAGCCAAGAGTGCCGTGAGGACATACGTAGGACAGACAGACACCCGGCCAGGAGAGGCGTGAGGGCATACGTAGGACAGTCAGATACCTACCAGCCAGGAGAGCCGTGAGGACATATGTAGGACAGTCAGATACCTACCTGCCAGGAGAGCCGTGAGGACATACGTAGGACAGTCAGACACCTACCTGCCAAGAGACCCGTGAGGACATACGTAGGACAGTCAGATACCTACCAGCCAGGAGAGCCGTGAGGACATACGTAGGACAGTCAGATACCTACCTGCCAGGAGAGCCGTGAGGACATATGCAGGACAGTCAGACACCTACCTGCCAGGAGAGCCGTGAGGACATACGTAGGACAGTCAGACACCTACCTGCCAAGAGACCCGTGAGGACATACGTAGGACAGTCAGATACCTACCCGTCAGGAGAGTCGTGAGGACATACGTAGGACAGTCAGACACCTACCTGCCAAGAGACCCGTGAGGACATACGTAGGACAGTCAGACACCTACCCGCCAGGAGAGCCGTGAGGACATACGTAGGACAGTCAGATACCTACCTGCCAGGAGAGCCGTGAGGACATACGTAGGACAGTCAGACACCCAGCCAAGAGAGCCGTGAGGACATACGTAGGACAGTCAGATACCTACCCGCCAGGAGAGCCGTGAGGACATACGTAGGACAGTCCGACACCTACCTGCCAAGAGACCCGTGAGGACATATGCAGGACAGTCAGATACCTACCTGACAAGAGACCCGTGAGGACATACGTAGGACAGTCCGACACCTACCTGCCAAGAGACCCGTGAGGACATACGTAGGACAGTCAGATACCTACCTGCCAGGAGAGCCGTGAGGACATACGTAGGACAGTCAGACACCTACCTGCCAAGAGACCCGTGAGGACATACGTAGGACAGTCAGACACCTACCAGCCAGGATAGCCGTGAGGACATACGTAGGACAGTCCGACACCTACCTGCCAGGAGAGCCGTGAGGACATATGTAGGACAGTCAGACACCTACCAGCCAGGAGAGCCGTGAGGGCATACGTAGGACAGTCCGACACCTACCTGCCCGGACAGCCGTGAGGACATACGTAGGACAGTCAGACACCTACCAGCCAGGATAGCCATGAGGACATATGTAGGACAGTCCGACACCTACCAGCCAGGAGAGCCGTGAGGGCATACGTAGGACAGTCAGATACCTACCTGCCAGGATAGCCGTGAGGACATATGCAGGACAGTCAGATACCTACCTGCCAAGAGACCCGTGAGGACATACGTAGGACAGTCCGACACCTACCTGCCAAGAGACCCGTGAGGACATACGTAGGACAGTCAGATACCTACCTGCCAGGAGAGCCGTGAGGACATACGTAGGACAGTCAGACACCTACCTGCCAAGAGACCCGTGAGGACATACGTAGGACAGTCCGACACCTACCTGCCATGAGAGCCGTGAGGACATATGTAGGACAGTCAGACACCTACCAGCCAGGAGAGCCGTGAGGGCATACGTAGGACAGTCCGACACCTACCTGCCCGGACAGCCGTGAGGACATACGTAGGACAGTCAGACACCTACCAGCCAGGATAGCCGTGAGGACATACGTAGGACAGTCCGACACCTACCTGCCAGGAGAGCCGTGAGGACATATGTAGGACAGTCAGACACCTACCAGCCAGGAGAGCCGTGAGGGCATACGTAGGACAGTCCGACACCTACCTGCCCGGACAGCCGTGATGACATACGTAGGACAGTCAGACACCTACCAGCCAGGATAGCCGTGAGGACATATGTAGGACAGTCCGACACCTACCAGCCAGGAGAGCCGTGAGGGCATACGTAGGACAGTCAGACACCTACCAGCCAGGAGAGCCGTGAGGGCATACGTAGGACAGTCAGATACCTACCAGCCAGGAGAGCCGTGAGGGCATACGTAGGACAGTCAGATACCTACCTGCCAGGATAGCCGTGAGGACATATGTAGGACAGTCAGACACCTACCAGCCAGGATAGCCGTGAGGACATATGTAGGACAGTCCGACACCTACCAGCCAGGAGAGCCGTGAGGGCATACGTAGGACAGTCCGACACCTACCAGCCAGGAGAGCCGTGAGGGCATACGTAGGACAGTCCGACACCTACCTGCCCGGACAGCCGTGAGGACATACGTAGGACAGTCAGACACCTACCAGCCAGGATAGCCGTGAGGACATACGTAGGACAGTCCGACACCTACCTGCCAGGAGAGCCGTGAGGACATATGTAGGACAGTCAGACACCTACCAGCCAGGAGAGCCGTGAGGGCATACGTAGGACAGTCCGACACCTACCTGCCCGGACAGCCGTGAGGACATACGTAGGACAGTCAGACACCTACCAGCCAGGATAGCCGTGAGGACATATGTAGGACAGTCCGACACCTACCTGCCAGGAGAGCCGTGAGGGCATACGTAGGACAGTCAGACACCTACCAGCCAGGAGAGCCGTGAGGGCATACGTAGGACAGTCAGATACCTACCAGCCAGGAGAGCCATGAGGACATACGTAGGACAGTCAGATACCTACCTGCCAGGATAGCCGTGAGGGCATACGTAGGACAATTCCCAACTATGTCGGTGACGTGGATGGTGTGGAGGTACTTCATCACTTCGGTTCCGTTGGTGGATTGAAATATGTGGGTTGTGTTACCTGAACAAAATCACAATGGATAAAACAAGACGTATGGATGCCATATCTTAGTGAACCTTAGTGAGAGAGTGAATATTGATTAACGCCTCAGCAATATTCCAGCTATGTCAAGGCATGTTCAAACCTCGGCCTGGCAAACCTGTGGTTGACAGGATGAACAACGGTACAACACGTCGGCATACCATGGCACACCAGCAGCAAATCAAACATTTAACCACACAATCCCCATTACATGACTCAATAATCTAAGTAACGAGTAGTTGTAGATAGTATGCAACACACCCAGAACAACATGGGATATTGATCGGTGTATCGATGACTAGCAATTGTCCATGAGCCAAATTTAAAATGTGAAAAGAAAACATCAACTACCTACCTATCTTATCGAAGGCTGAACTCTCCCTTCCTCACCCCCCCCCCACCCCCCCCCCCCCCCCCCCCCCCCCCCCCCACCCCACCCAACCTACCCAGATTATTGAAGGTGACTATGATGTAGCTTTCAGGCTGAACTCTCCCCCACCACCATTAACACTCCCCCCAACCTACCCAGGTTATTGAAGGTGAGTATGGTGTAGCTTTCAGGCTGAACTCTCCCCCAACCCCCACCCCCCTAACCTACCTAGGTTATTGAAGGTGAGTATGGTGTAGCTTTCAGGCTGAACTCTCCCCCCACCCCACCCCCCACCCCCCACCCCACCCACACACCCCCCACACCCCACCCCCACCCCCACCCCCACCCACCCTCCCTACCACCCACCCCACCCACCCAACCTACCCAGGTTATTGAAGGTGAGTATGGTGTAGCTTTCAGGCGGAACTCTCCCCCACCCCCACACCCCAGCCCCCAACCTACCCAGGTTATTGAAGGTGAGTATGGTGTAGCTTTCAGGCTGAACTCTCCCCCACCCCAGCCCACACTCCCTCCAACCTACCCAGGTTATTGAAGGTGAGTATGGTGTAGCTCTCAGGCTGAACTCTCCCCCAAACCCACACACTCCCCCCAACCTACCTAGGTTATTGAAGGTGACTATGATGTAGCTTTCAGGCTGCTTTATTGTCCCTGCTGTCTCCGTGATGATTTCCTGCATCTTTCTTCTCACAGCCTGAATATCATCCGCCATAGTGTGAGACGTGTCGACGACCAACACCAAGTCGCTAGAACCAGCTATATTGAAAAGCGCGCGGAAAGTGGTGTTTCCTACCCATGTCCTTAATCCATAAACTGAAAAAAATTATAAACACTTAAAACTGTCTTATTGTACTAATGTTTTCGGAAAACGTAATTCCTAGGGATCATTTCAAATTATTCCAGTGCTGCAAAAATGAATTTCACGATCTTTTGTATGGCGTAAAGCTACATTGGACACCGTAATTCATGATAATAACTACGTACCTACTATATCTAGACAGCTGGGTTTGCATAATTGCATGCGTGCGTCAGACAACATACAGGGGGAGAAATATACATATCAGAACGTGGGTACGCTCTGGATCCGACACTTACCCGGATCATCCAAAAAGAACTTTGTGTGTCGCATAGCGCCCTCTGCCGCCTGGTGGTGGAGGTAGTAGTGGGGGGACATGTTGGGGTCGCTGCTGTCCTTGTTGATGCCGCCAGTAGCAGCAGACGTCGTGCTGGACGTGTCGTGGGGGCCGCCGTGACTACATTTGCCAGTCTGGTGCGTCTGTGGATCTTCTGGGGTAATATTTACGGGTCACAGTCAAGCACGTTACAATGGTGATTTTACTGTAAAACGTTACTTACCTCCTGACCATGTTTGGCAAAGCGTCATATATAAATACTCTTATGCAAGCGACATGTGGTATGCGGCGTCAGGCAAAACTATATTTACTATATTTTACAAACTGTGCTACAGGTTGGGCAGGACCCTTTCCGCGAACACCTGGTGTCATCACTATTTTCAGTGATCTATTCAAATAATTACCACCGCTATTTTGCCTTTTACACCCAATGGAATATGTTTCGTTGGATAATCGAGACTGGTTATTCTCTGACGTTGACGTTTTATATTTACGCTGAAAACATATGTTGTCCTTTCTGTAAGACTAAGTGTCAATGAAATCTTGTGAAAAAGGCCAAGAGGTGTCCATGTTTGGATGAGATGCGATGTTGAAAAAGGTAAATACGTATGGTCGTACACCTTGCGTCATCACTGACTGTCAGTAGCTTATTCCTATAATGTTCACAGCTTTTCGCCCTTTACGCCAAACGGAATTCGTTTGGGCAGAAAATCTGGACGGGTTATTCTTTTGCATTGACAATTAAAATTTCCTTCAACAGCTATCCTATTATTTAGTTTGAAATAGGAATTTCCCGTATGAATCAGGTATTGTATTGAGTCGCTTACTGCTCGGCTTTGATCTGTCCTGTCCACTCCTGTAGCCACTGGTCAACTCATTTTGGACGAGAAGGTTGTCGGTGCAGAAAACTCCACTCCGCCCTCTGCAAAGGAGAAAGAAAGTCCTTCATCAACATCACATTTTACATCTTCAGAAGTTGTGTTTGCGAAAAAGAAAAAAGAATACTGCACTTATCCTGTTAGTAATATTAACTATATGATAAAATTACTTTACATCATCGTGGGGAAGATATCCATGTTAGGAGGCCATTCGTGACGACTATTGCCTTTCCGGGACAAGTCGTCACGCCCGCTTCGGGTCATTTCATCAACTTGGTTCTGTCACGCAAAGGGGCATAACGGAAAAAAGGTCAACTTATTGTAAGTTTACATGATATTGTTTATTTGGGTCTTTTTGGTTTAACGACGCACAGTCGTCCAGCTCTATGACGGAGGCATGAACATAATGGAATCTGGACTAGACAATCAGTCATATCAGTAGTGATGTCTGTAGTTATTGAGGCGTATTATAATTGGCGAAAGCAGGTTTTTAGACAAAAAAGGCGCGTTCAACTTCACAAACGTCACTTCATGACCATGAAGATCTTGGCCCTTTCCACCAAGCTCTCTTAGCACTAAGGCGGTCGTAACTCCCATATATTAACATAAACCTGCGAAAGTAGTAGAGATGGGATGGCTTTGTGCACCAGGGCCCTGTATTTTAACCCTAGAAGCTCCAGTCATGGCACTTACCCACATGATCTGCACGTATCCAGGGAGGGCGGAGCAACACCCACCAAGGGCTTCCCGCGGATACCTTAAATGTCAACACTCGCACAATGGGTTAATGTACGACGGAAATACACAAATGAATGTTTCGATTGAAGAGAACTTTGTTTAGGTTCCTCTTCAGATAGGTTCATATGTAATTGTACACATATATTCATATCAAACATTTGAATCTAAATATCGGAGATCTTGAGTTTTGTCTAAAATTTGTTTAAATACGTTTACGATATTGTATCCAGGTATGACTAACTAAACTAACAACTAACATATGATGGTTGATTGATGAGTTTTGAGCCTCAGGTAAAAGGAACTCAGATAATAGTGAAATATATTGTTGAAGACATTGCATGATGTCATAGAGGTATATCCATAAAATACTTGAGTCAACTGAGCAAATTGTTTCGCTGTGACACGTCAGTAAAATAAGTATTGACCTAAAAATTGACAAACTTAAGAAATGTGCAGTGATCATGTACGCAGATTGTTGTTTGGAAGTGGTAAACCCATGTTTCATCCTAAGTCACAAATCGTTGCAAGAACCTTTCTGGATCAGCTTCAAACAGAACTTTCTTTTACGCAATTCCTTCTATGTGAGGTTCAGAATTTATCAATCAAACCTCACATCTGGCAGTTTGTCAAGGAAGAAAGCTTAACATGTTGATCGGTTGAAAGTGCCGAGTACGATGTGGATGAAGTGGTCAAAATGGTAAAAGGGCAGTGAGAAGTAGTTAGCACTGAGGTGTTGTTTGTGTGTCGATATCGTGAAATATTATTCGCATTACCAGCAAGGGTTCGCCATGATATCACAGTTATATTGTCCACTAAGTAACTCGGACACTCACTCACCAAGTGATTCATAGACAGCTGTCCCGTTGAGTTCCGGCCAGTTGGTGTTGCTGTAGAACATCTGGACAATGTGTAGAAACTGACCAATCAGATCTCGAGCCGCATCGAGGTTGGGATTGGTCTTGTTTAGAACATTGATGGCTGTTTCCCGTAGCAACGTGATCTTGTCGTTACCTGCAGTTGTCATCATATTCATGAGGTGATAATGATATATGTTCAACCTGAAACTTCATTTAATCAACGAAACCATTTGCTTCGTCTTTAATAACGCTGCAAACCTTTCTACAAATATACCTGGGATAATGCAATTAATATTTACTTTGTGTACATTGCCATATTGACAACAAACGGCCCATTTCCATATATTTCGACATAGTTTTATCTTTCTTTTGCTTTCGGTGGTTAATATCACCTTCTTTGATGGCCTCCCCGTTGACGTGCCAGGCAGCCTCCGTGTAGTGGTCCTGGTCCACTCTGTTGTTGGCCTTTACGATGTCATCGATGGCCTCCTGGAACAACTTCTCCGACACAGAGCCTGAAGGTATTATGGAAAACAACAACCTCTTATTCGCTTCCTGGACATCCTCCAGGGACTCAAGACTCATTGGCAATCTCATTAAAATCAGACCTCAGTTCTCGCTACCGCTAAACAAAGATCTGATGACATCCCATTAGGGGTCACATCAGAACGACCTTTCATCCGACCAATCAGAGCGTCGCTTACCAGATGATGAAAGTGACAGTCGGAATGTGATTTCTGCAAAAGTGCACAATACAATTCTATCATGAAGAGCCTCCACGTTAATCAAACCACGGCACCCCATTATGATTGGTAAATATAAGCGATTGAGGGAAGAGCAAGGGTGGTGGGTTCATTGTCTGACATGATTCTTCGTGTGAGGGTGTCAACACCCTGAATTTCTTGTTTCGTCCAATCAGCAACACCAAAAGAATATGAAAGGATGGGTACAGCATAAGTTGTGGCTTTAACTTTATGCGAATGTTCAGCTCTGAACATTTTTTTGAGTCAACATTTCCCCGAGGTTTTTCCTCGATATGGGCATTCTGGAGTTTGTCCCTAACCTGCATCTAAGTACGTGTCGGTCTGACCTTCCACGAGATTGCCAATAACTCCTCCCCAAGTAAACTGACTGACCCTCCATCTTCTACCTTGCCACGTTTCAGATGAAGAATGTTGCATTTTTCGAGTCCAAAGGACATGCCAATATCCCTAGAAAAGGACTCGACAAGGAGAATCTGGTTTTTTTAGTGTAGATCCTCCATTTGCAATTAGTTCAAGGTCATCCATGTAAAGGAGGTGAGAACGGGGTATTGGGGATCTGTGCTGAGGAGATTCAGAATGATAGCCTCCCTCTTTGCTGAGCAAAAAGCTTAAAGAATTTAGTGACAAACAGAAAAGGAAAGGACTAAAAGAATCGACCTGAAATATTCCTCTTCTGATAGAAATAGGTTCCGAAGTCCCCATCTGCCCCTGCGAATACATCTCAGAAATAGTTGACCAGCAATTCATTAAAATCTTTGGTAAAACAAATAGTCGCTCAGGGAGGTCAATACATTCTAATGACTTTAAAATCCATTCGTGAGGTATTCGTGAGGAATCATAAGCTTTTCTGTAGTCTATCAAACACATTGAGAGGTTACGGCGGTAAGTTTTGGTCTCTACAAGGATCATTTTTTTAACTACAATTTGATCCTTACAACCCCAGCACCAATTTCTGACACTTTTCTGCTCCATGTTAATAATGTCAATAGAAGCGCAGTATGATGACACATGCACCGTATGACACCCTGTAAATTCAGACGAAGTGTATTCAGACAAGTAATAGGACGGAGGTTTTTAAGGTCAGTCAGGGGGTCGTAAGGGGAGACCGAATGGATCGGGTGGTCAGCCTCCGTGACGTGGTTGACAGCGTGTCATTGTACCGCGACGACGTGGACCTCGGTTCATAATGTCAATCCCTGGATCGTCTGGCCCAGATTCGATTATTTGTAGGCCGCCGTCATATAGTTGGAATATTGCTGAGTGCGGTTTTAAACAACAAACAAACAACAAAGAAGTAATACCATTACCAACATACTCTATTACAACAATGTTGAGACACTCTTTGCCAAAACAACAGTGTTGAGACACTCTTTGCTAATACAATAGTGTTAATACCCGTGAAGATCCGGGGTGAAATAGGTCTTCAGCAACCCATGCTTGCCGTAAATGGCGACTATGCTTGTCGTAAGAAGGACTAACGGGATCGGGTGGTCAGGCTGACTTGGTTGATGCATGTCATCGTATCCCAATTTCGTGGATCGATGCTCATGATGTCAATCACTGGATTGTTTGGTCCAGACTCGATTATTTACCGACCGCGTCATATAGCTGGAATTGCGGAGTGCGGCGTTAAACAACAAACAAACAACAGTGTTGAGACATTCTCACAGCTAGCCAAGAAACATGTGAAATAGAATCTTCATGTTGAAATCAGTTTGGTTCAGAGTTCAACGAAATGGAAAATATACTTCATCCTAATAGTCACCAGGAGATCTTCGGATTAATGTGAAGCTGTACGTGCAACGGTTGTTAACATTCGCCTCTTGAGTTTCCACTGATCGGTCACCCAATGTGACGCCATTATCATTCAATCAAATTCACGACAGATATTACATGGTGTGTTTATGCAGTGTGCCTGTTAAATACCTCACTTTCGCCGATCCTCAGACAGTTGTGTTTGGATAATGACAGACTCAATAGAACATTAAAGTAAGGAGAACGATATACGATCAACCTAATGCGGGAATCGTGTTTGATTGTTCAGTTGCCAGTACTTGACAGCGCCATGGCGTTAGGTGAAGTGAGATGTTTTCTAAATAATCATGCCGGTTAATGGTAATTAACAAAATAAGTTGTTTGCAAACATCATTACGTGATTTAGCGAAGTCAAGAAGTTTATAACCTTCAACTAAGCCCACTTTGATTGTTTCATAACCTTTCGCAAACGATTCGCGGGGGGCATCTATTTGATCTCTATGTATGTGTGTGGTGATGGGGTCATTTTTTAAATGAATTGTTGGTTCGGAAATATACCAAAAGTGAATAGTTTGTTGGTAGGAGTGAATAAAACGAATAGTTTGTTTTGTGGAAAATGCCCAAACGTCAAAACGTTTATGTTAATAGTGAAAATGAATAGATTGTTTGATCGTGCTCGGTAAATAGATCGTTTGCTGGATACAGCAGGGGAAACTATAGGCTGTTATAAAATACAAAAACAAGCAAACCCACAAATCCCACACCACACCACACCACACCACACCACACCACACGTAACCACCAAACCACATCTAACCACACCACACCACACCACACCACCACACCACACCACACCACACCACACCACACCTAACCACCACACCACACCACACCACACCACACCACACCTATCCACCACACCACACCTAACCACCACACCACACCACAACACACCACACCACACCACACCTAACCACCACACCACACCACACCACACCACACCACACCACTACACACCTAACCACCACACCACACCACACCACACCACACCACACCTAACCACCACACCACACCTAACCACCACACCACACCACACCTAACCACCACACCACACCACACCACACCACACCACACCTTACCACCACACCACACCACACCACACCTAACCACCACACCACACCACACCTAACCACCACACCACACCACACCACACCACACCACACCTAACCACCACACCACACCACACCTAACCACACCTAACCACACCTAACCACCACACCACACCACACCTAACCACCACACCACACCACACCACACCACACCACACCACACCACACCACACCACACCACACCTAACCACACCACACCACACCACACCACACCTAACCACCACACCACACCACACCACACCACACCACACCACACCTAACCACCACACCACACCACACCTAACCACCACACCACACCACACCACACCTAACCACCACACCACACCACACCACACCACACCACACCACACCACACCACACCACACCACACCACACCACACCTAACCACCACACCACACCACACCACACCACACCACACCACACCTAACCACCACACCACACCACACCTAACCACCACACCACACCTAACCACCACACCACACCACACCTAACCACCACACCACACCACACCACACCACACCACACCACACCACACCACACCACACCACACCACACCACACCACACCTAACCACCACACCACACCACACCACACCTAACCACCACACCACACCTAACCACACCTAACCACCACACCACACCACACCACACCTAACCACCACACCACACCACACCTAACCACCACACCACACCACACCACACCACACCTAACCACCACACCACACCACACCACACCACACCACACCACACCACACCACACCTAACCACCACACCACACCACACCACACCACACCTAACCACCACACCACACCACACCACACCACACCACACCTAACCACCACACCACACCACACCTAACCACCACACCACACCTATCCACCACACCACACCTAACCACCACACCACACCACACCACACCACACCTAACCACCACACCACACCACACCTAACCACCACACCACACCTAACCACCACACCACACCACACCACACCTAACCACCACACCACACCACACCACACCTAACCACCACACCACACCTAACCACCACACCACACCACACCTAACCACCACACCACACCACACCTAACCACCACACCACACCTAACCACCACACCACACCACACCTAACCACCACACCACACCACACCTAACCACCACACCACACCTAACCACCACACCACACCACACCTAACCACCACACCACACCACACCTAACCACCACACCACACCACACATAACCACCACACCACACATAACCACCACACCACACCACACCACACCTAACCACCACACCACACCACACCACACCTAACCACCACACCACACCTAACCACCACACCACACCACACCACACCTAACCACCACACCACACCACACCACACCACACCTAACCACCACACCACACCTAACCACACCTAACCACCACACCACACCACACCACACCTAACCACCACACCACACCACACCTAACCACCACACCACACCACACCACACCACACCTAACCACCACACCACACCACACCACACCACACCACACCACACCTAACCACCACACCACACCACACCACACCACACCTAACCACCACACCACACCACACCACACCACACCACACCTAACCACCACACCACACCACACCTAACCACCACACCACACCTAACCACACCTAACCACCACACCACACCACACCACACCTAACCACCACACCACACCTAACCACCACACCACACCACACCACACCTAACCACCACACCACACCACACCACACCACACCTAACCACCACACCACACCTAACCACACCTAACCACCACACCACACCACACCACACCTAACCACCACACCACACCACACCTAACCACCACACCACACCACACCACACCACACCTAACCACCACACCACACCACACCACACCTAACCACCACACCACACCACACCACACCACACCTAACCACCACACCACACCACACCACACCACACCACACCTAACCACCACACCACACCACACCTAACCACCACACCACACCTAACCACCACACCACACCTATCCACCACACCACACCTAACCACCACACCACACCACACCACACCACACCTAACCACCACACCACACCACACCTAACCACCACACCACACCTAACCACCACACCACACCACACCACACCTAACCACCACACCACACCACACCTAACCACCACACCACACCACACCTAACCACCACACCACACCACACCTAACCACCACACCACACCACACCTAACCACCACACCACACCACACCTAACCACCACACCACACCTAACCACCACACCACACCACACCTAACCACCACACCACACCACACCTAACCACCACACCACACCACACATAACCACCACACCACACATAACCACCACACCACACCACACCACACCTAACCACCACACCACACCACACCACACCTAACCACCACACCACACCTAACCACCACACCACACCACACCACACCTAACCACCACACCACACCATACCACACCACACCTAACCACCACACCACACCACACCACACCACACCACACCATACCACACCACACCTAACCACCACACCACACCACACCACACCACACCTAACCACCACATCACACCACACCTAACCACCACACCACACCTAACCACCACACCACACCACACCACACCACACCACACCTAACCACACCTAACCACCACACCACACCACACCACACCACACCACACCTAACCACCACACCACACCTAACCACCACACCACACCACACCACACCACACCACACCACACCTAACCACCACACCACACCACACCACACCACACCACACCTAACCACACCTAACCACACCTAACCACCACACCAAACCACCACACCACACCACACCACACCACACCACACCACACCTAACCACCACACCACACCACACCACACCTAACCACCACACCACACCACACCACACCACACCACACCACACCACACCACACCTAACCACCACACCACACCACACCACACCACACCTAACCACCACACCACACCACACCACACCACACCACACCTAACCACCACACCACACCACACCACACCACACCACACCTAACCACCACACCACACCACACCACACCACACCACACCACACCTAACCACCACACCACACCTAACCACCACACCACACCACAACACCACACCACACCACACCACACCACACCTTACCACCACACCACACCACACCACCACACCTATGCCCCCCATACAAATAAAATGGAAGCTCCCTAGGGGATTGACCATTTGCTATAGGGGAGGGGTGTTGGCATTTTTTTGTCCCCACGGTTTACGGAATAAAATACATTGTTTGCTGGCCATGCTGGATGTGCTGACAAAATGTGTTGTGTTTAAAAATTGAAATGTTCAGGTCCTCCCCAACAAGTATATTTAACTAGTGGAACCTCAGTCATTAACTGGCCGTTTGTCACGTGATCAGGCTGACTGAAACCTATATCAGTCTATCATAATGGCTGTGTGTGCAGATTCCATGCTTTCAGTATGAGTGAAATACAGCAGTCGATTGTGTGTTCATATACAGCAATCCAATAGAATGTCTACCTATTTCACTTTACCTTGCTTCATCATTTGAATTGTTATAAAGTTATAATACAAATTATCATCTTTTAGATAATATATATCGTTATATAATTTTGTAAATCTATATTTTACGAAAGCCTAATGGTACAAATTTGATAGCATAATTTTATTTTTACAAATCGAAATTTGTCGTTTGTCAATTTTTTTCTCAAAATTTCTTTCTCTTTATTTCATTTTTTTTCCTCGCTTTTTCTCGGTATTTGAATGCTGTCTTGTTATTTCAAGTTTATTTCAAAAACTCGAAACTCGATTTTTTCTTCAAATATTTATTGAAATAAACTTGAAATAACGAGATTATTTTCGAAATAACGAGAAATACTGGAAGCAACAAGTGTAAAAATGAAACAAAGAGAAAATAATACAATCAACGAGAGAAAATTCGAAATTTCGAGAAAAATAATTTAAATAACGAGAAATTAATCGAAGCAACGAAAAAGAACGCGAAATGTCGAGAAAATACGCAAATAATTGAAATAACGAGAAATTTCGATTAAAAAATATATATGCTACCAAAGTGGCACCATTAGGCTTTCGTAATATTTTACTTATTCTTTTCAAATATATTTGATAGATCCAGAAGTTTAGAGCTTTAGGACCAATATCATTTGACATAGAATTGTTAAATCACTAGGCTATCTAGCCGCCCTTGAAGACGAGGTCTTCTCTTGTGATATTCCTACTCGCCTCTGGTTCTGGTGTTAGAATTGTTTGTGGTAGAGATACTAAGAGAATTTATTGGATAATATGAGAACGAGATCGGTAGAATAACGAAAAACTGCAAACACTGTATGTATTCTAGGGTTGCATGGATTGCAGATCCTAAATAATATTTCTAGTGGCGATAATGCATTTACATAAACTGTATCGTGCCAGGGCTGGTCAGATAATTATTCTAACTCCTTCTGGAAAGTGTTTAACGTGGGTTTTTTATATCTGCTAACGATGTTTCTAAGCAAAGTACTTTTCTATTATTTTATTACTTAAGAAAGATCAAAGCGACCAGTATTTCAGTTCTATAATGCCGTATCAGTTTATGGAAGACGTTTGCAGTGTTGTTGAAACCCACAGGCAGGGATAAGGTGGTGGCTAATGAATATAATCGGATTTCGAATTTGAACACGCGGTCAGCGGGTCCTGGCACCGCTAAGGGACGCAATTTGTACAGGGCGCTGCGGCGCCTTTAGCTAGTGTCCCACCCATGTTCTCAAATACCCAAAGAAAATGAAGTGACAATTTCGACAAAGTCTCAGTGATATATTTATATGAAGCACTTAAAGTCCAAATGCTATACGTACCTCCATAATATTTGTCAAAAAGTGACTTTGTCGTGATGTTGGGTATTCCTGTTAGTTCCCCGGGTCTGATGGTCCTCCCTGACGTCTCCTCGAACATTTCAGCCACGGATCTCAAGATGGCGATCTCAGTGATGTCCTGGTGAGTGAAGTCAGATTTAGACGCCATGGGACTCATCCTGTTCGGTAGGAAGCCATTCACGCAGACGACGGTCACGCACAGCAGATATGTGATGGCTGTTCTCGTAACCATGGTGCTGTGCCAAAGAGAGAAAAACGAAATCGTTAAAAATATTGTCAAACAATGCTCCGTCGAACATCAAATATCCTTTTGAGCAGAGACCTACCAAACGAATCCAATGTCTTTTGTTTCTGAGACTGAAAGTGTTTTAGGAACAGCCCATAACATGCCTATAATATTTTGGGGGGATCGAAACAAATTTTCACATATACCATTTACAGTAAGACTGAAACCGAACGTCTTCAACATAATTTCATAACACCACTTAACATGAGGAATAAAGTACTATACACGTACACTAGAATGCATACATCCACTCTCTGATTACAGATGTAGTACTTCTACCCTACTCCAGGTCGTATGTTTGTCTTGTCATGACAGAGAAACTGTAAATGTATTAAGGGGACGGCGTTCATTGGTCAGATCTGACTATTGTACTGGATATAGCGACGGCGGAGATCTGCCGAGTGGCTGGCTATGTTGTTTCGTTCCTTCTCAACGCCTCCTCGCTACTAGAATTCTTGTTGATGGACAAGGGTTAGCGTACAACAGAATGTGGTTCACAAGGGGGGTGACCAACGGAGAAGCTTGTTCCAAAAATTACCAAAATCCAAACTATATTTGCTTGATCTGTTTAATGTCACGTTTTAAAGAAATGTGGGTGTACAATGTGACATACACGAAACATGTGTTTACCTCGGAAGTGCAATTCTTTGTGCAGGTAGTGTCTAATATCGAGCGAGTGTTGTTTTACGCCGGTTTTAGATGTGTTCAATCACTTTCACGGCCGGGAACAACAGGAATATAGAATCTTTCGAAACTTTAAGGAAAACAAATTTGGTTTCGTTGACATTTACTATTGGAAAAAAACATTTTGGCATGATTACCCATGATGACCCTGAAAATGCACGTGCATCCCGACATTGCACGCATACCCGTAATGCACGTTTATCTGCAAATAAGCGGTTTTGTACAATTGGAATGCTTGAAACAGTAATTGCACAGAAGGTTGTTGCTAGATTTGGTCACCATACACCATATCAGTGGTTAAAGCGTTCGCTTGTCACGCTGAAGACCTGGGTTCGATTCCCGACATGGGTACAATGTGTGAAGCCCATTTCTGGTGTCCCCCGCCGGGATATTGCTGGAATATTGCTAAAAGCGGCGTAAAATCAAACTCACTCACTCACTCACTCACCCATACAATCATTCAGGGGTCGGTACCAACACCAACACCAGGGGCCGAACACGTTTTGGACGTCCACGAATAACGTCACGACGGCAAGATAATCATATCCGTCTGGTTCACCTTTGAACTGTTTCAAACTGCAACTTTGACAGGCAGCAGCATCACTGGTACGTCCGATTAGGGCACGGACTGTGAGGAATCGATTACAACAGCATTACACCCGATATGTCTAATTATGATGTCGGCTCATCGAGCGCCACTCTTTGCATGGTCAACCAGTCATCTGAAGTTCAGATTACAGGGTTTGGGGTTAGTCCTCTCCATGGGGTGAGTCCAGGTTTCATCTTGACAGCAGTGATGAACGTCAATGTTTATTGACGTCTGATGGAACATTACGCCGACGCGTGTGTTGTTCAGCGTTCTGCGCTTGGAGCTGGGGGCGTAATGGTGTTGGAGGCATCACTACACATCACAGGACCCCTCTAGTGGTCATCGCTGACTATTTGCAAGTGTACGGTACCGTGACGAAGTTATCTGTTCTCACGTCCTCCCGTTCCTCCAGACCCACAGACGTCACACCATTCTACAGCCACGGGTTAGAATTGGTCTTCAGCAACCCATGCTTGGCGTAAGTTGCGACCAACGGGATCGGGTGGTCAGGCTCCCTGACTTGGCTGATGCATGTCATCGTATCCCAATTGTGTAGATCAATGCGCAAGATGTCAATCACTGGATTGTCCGGTCCAGACTTGATTATTTACAGACCGCCGTCATTTAGCTGGAATATTGCTGAGTGCGGCAGGACAATGCACCCTTCACGTTGTACGTGTGGTCACAGACTTCAGTGGACAACGGAACAACCCCACACTCCCATGCCCTGCTGTTTCGCCAGGTCTGTCACCCATCGGACATGTGTGGGCTGAAAGGAAACATTGCTAACGCTGTCTGCCAACCAACCGGTGACGTTGGTCCAGCTGCGACAGCTCTTGGTCCAGACCTGAAATGACATCCCATAAGCCTTCGTCAGCCATCTTGTGACGTCAATGAGGCGCCGTTGTCAAGCTTGTGTCACTGCTAATGGTGGTCATATCCGACACTGACCGGTGAACTGACAACTGACCCCACGCCACTTTCTGCCTGAGATGTCGTTGAGAGAGGACACGTGTTGACACTGTCATAATAAATTGCCATGGATAAATCTTTCGGTAGCATTCTTGTTCTTTGTTTGCGATTATGTATTATTTCCCATGATAGTCAGTGATAAATAGGGTTTTTTTCACTGGTATACATTGATGCGATTATACATGTATTTATTGTTTGAATTACACTCCAACCTCACCCCCACCCCACCCTCCACCCCCCACCCCACCCCCACACACACAAACACAAAACAAAAACACCAACAACAAAAACCAATACCTTTGAAAATCACATGTCGACCCCAATGACCCCACCCATCACTCTATCCAACCCCCAACCCCACCCACCCCTCCAATCAACCACCAACTACAACGACATTATCACAAAAACACACATGAACTGCCGGGTAAAAGAAAATATACACCCATGTCTGAAACTGGCCCAAAATGAAACAAACAAGTAATGTTTTTTCGGTGGTGATGTATTGATACGGATATCAAAGTTGTGTTTTTGACCTCAAGTTTACGTCAACTGTTTTCAGGCCAGTAACGTGTGTATACTTTTTTTTGTGGCCGGCAAGTCATTTCAGAGAATGTTATTTCAGAGGCTACATTTCTGCGTTGTTCACGGACTAGTATTTAACTAGTTCAGAATTCAAACTGTAAACGCCCAAGGATATCAATATACCTGTCAAACTGAAATAATATTTTTAAGTAGAAAAGAGAGTAAAACAAACAATAAATGGTTGACGTCAAACGTATTTGTCACAAGGATCTGTCACATGTAATGACGCTAGTTTGGGGCCGTCTATTGATTTTTACACTATTTTTTTTAATGTATTAACATCTTCGGAGAGGGTTTGAGTTTCTCTCATATCCCTAACTGAATAGCCACATAACCAGGACATAATTACTAATAGATAGTAAAGGAGAGTGTAGGAAGAATAATAGGTACATGCATACACATTCATAGCAGGACATATGACAAAACAGCGTTAATGATTTGGAGTATTCATATCTCTGCCGTAATACAGAAGAGAATCGGTCCAGGGAAACACAAACTATAAAGGGTGTAAGTGTAAACTATATAGGGTGTAAGTGTAAACTATACAGGGTGTAAGCGTAAACTGTTTAGGGTGTAAGTGTAAACTATATAGGGTGTAAGTGTAAACTATATAGGGTGTAAGTGTAAACTATATAGGGTGTAAGTGTAAACTATATAGGGTGTAAGTGTAAACTGTATAGGGTGTAAGTGTAAACTATATAGGGTGTAAGTGTAAACTATATAGGGTGTAAGTGTAAACTATATAGGGTGTAAGTGTAAACTATATAAAGTGCAAATGTACACTATATAGGTTGTAACTGTAAACTGTTTAGAGTGTAAGTGTAAACTATATAGGGTGTAAGTGTAAACTATATAGGGTGTAAGCGTAAACTATATAGGTTGAAATTGTAAACTGTTTAGGGTGTAAGTTTAAACTATATAAGGTGTAAGTGTAAACTATATAGGGTGTAAGTGTAAACTATATAGGGTGTAAGTGTAAACTATATAGGGTGTAAGCGTAAACTATATAGGTTGTAACTGTAAACTGTTTAGGGTGTAAGTGTAAACTATATAGGGTGTAAGTGTAAACTATAGACGGTGTAAGTGTAAACTATATAGGGTGTAAGCGTAAACTATATAGGGTGTAAGCGTAAACTATATAGGGTGTAAGCGCAAACTATAGACGGTGTAAGTGTAAACTATATAGGGTGTAAGCGCAAACTATAGACGGTGTAAGTGTAAACTATATAGGGTGTAAGCGTAAACTATAGACGGTGTAAGCGTAAACTATATAGGGTGTAAGTGTAAACTATAGACGGTGTAAGTGTAAACTATAGACGGTGTAAGTGTAAACTATAGACGGTGTAAGTGTAAACTATATAGGGTGTAAGCGTAAACTATATAGGTTGTAAGCGTAAACTGTTCAGGGTGTGAGGGTTGCAAGTTATAGTTGATGAAGCTGAATCTTTCTGTGAACTACGAAGCACCCTTTCAAGCAAAGTTTGAGTCCTTGTCCAACAAAGGAATCCTATCAATCAACGTGTAATAGTTGAAATGCCGCTGGAAGTTCGATAGTGTCATCTCACCATTCTATCCCAGCAACACTTGTCTACTCAAGTATCTGGACACACTTTTAAGTATATCTGAATACACCATATGACGGCATATAGGATATAAATGTGTATGTGTTTGCCGACCTGCCTAATAGGAAGCTTTGCGCCTGACATGTGTAAACTTAGTAGGGTGAGACCAGATAATTCAGTGATTGATATTATGAACAACGATCCACGCCGTAGGGGTATGACCATCCGATCCATTAAGTCACCTTGGACGACAAGCACAGGTTACTGGGAACAATTCTAACCCGGAATGCCCACGGGCTGGTATACGCTTAAAATATGTAGGGTAATGAATTTATACAAATAATAAATTACTAACATTATACTCAGAAACTATTAAAGACGTCAAAGACTTTTATTCCTATAGAACCTCTGTCAGTCAAATGGTCACGTGCTGTTTGATAGAACATCCACATCGATACAACAGACCCGTGACGATCCCCGGGGTAGAATGGTCTTCAGCAACCCATGCTTCCCGTAAAAGGCTACTATGCTTGTCGTAAGAGGCGACTAACGGAATCGGGTGGTCAGGCTCGCTGACTTGGTTGATGTATGTCATAGTATCCCAATTGTGTGGATCGGTGCTTATGGTGTCAATCACCGGATTGTCTGGTCCAGACTCGATCATTTACAGACCGCCGTCATAAAACAAGCAAACAAATCAATACAACATCCTGGTCAGTTGGGAGCGGCGGAGTAGTCGAGTGGTCAAAGGTTTCGCTCGTCTCGTCAAAACGCCAGTTCGATTCCCCAGATAGATACAAATCAGGAAAACTGTTCTTACAGGTTACGCACGCACGCACGCTCGCACGGGGTAGAATAGGTCTTCAGCAAGCCATACTTGCCGGAAAAGGCGACTATGCTTGTCGTAAGAGGCGACTAACGAGATTGGGTGGTCAGGCTAGCTGATTTGG